ATTGCAGCGCACCGGATCTCTGCACTCCCAGCCAAAGTGGTCGGAGCCCTGGCAGTTGAAGCAGATTAACTCCCTGAGGACGTGGAAGTGGCGGATAGCAGGCGACGGACGGCGGGGGCGGTGGCAGCGGGCGCCGGAGTGGCGAGTCGCAGGAGCGTGGGAGCTACCCGCATTTCTTTATTTTTTTTGCACCGCACATATCATAGCGTGTGCATGCACATATAATAGGGAAAAAATACTACTCTGCGCCTGCCCACGGACACCTCTTTTACATACATCCATGCGCCAGCGGTAACGTGAATACGTGCCTTGTCGATCGACAGCTAGCTAGGATTCTTGGTCGAGCCAGACAGACCGCGAGGTGCCCAGTGGTGTGGCTATAGAATGTGCGCAGCAGCCAATCCATCCGCGTCCGCCGACGACTAGTCGATCGATGTCATATACTACTCCCTCCGTCCGGAATTATGTGAGTATTTTACGTGAGCTTAGAGCAACTCCAACGGGCCGACCCAAACGGACGACGCATTTGTCCGTTTTTTATTCGTTTGAATCGGCTGCCCGTCCGGCATCTGTCCAGTTTTGCATTTGGATTGGCAGTGCGCCCAACGCATCGACCCATTTCATGCACGCATTCAACTTTTAAATAAAAAGGGCACACGGCCGATCATGCCAGCGGCCATGCATGTCTCATGCCGGCACCATGCCAGCGCCGGCATACAATGCCGGCTTCAGAAAATATCATCACAGTTCATGCTGGCGCACTCGCCAGCCGGCCGGCACACATGCCAGCACACAAAAAAGGGTGTGACTTGAGTTCGACCACGTCATCTCGGCTCTCGTGGTCATGCCGGCACACCTACCGGTATACAAAAAAGATGGCCCTCGCCGACATAGATCACTCATCGTCGAACTTGAACATGACGGCCTGCATCTTCTCGAACCACGGCCTCTTCCTTGGCGACACGGAGTTGAGATCCACCTTTATGATCTCCACCCCGGTCATCATGCTCGCAAGAGCCACTTCTTTCGCCTTGGTCTTGGCGTTGGCGGCCTCGATCTCTAGCATCCTGGCTTGCTTCTCCACCTCGAGCTCGAACATCTTGGCTTGCTTCTCGGCTTCAAGATCAAGCCTCCTCCTTTGGATCTCCATGAAAGCATCCATTTGCTCCGCCTTGAAACGCCGGCGCTCCTCCTCCCTTGAGTCCTTCTTATTCATCATGCCGTCCACGCTTGCGATCAAGGCGTTGGTGGCCGCATCTCGCTTGTCCTCCTTGGAGTTGGTCTTCCCCCGCGGCCGTGCGGCTCGCCCTCTCCAATATCCTCCACAGTTTTCTTCCCCCCACGTGCCTTGAGTGCGGCATATTGGTCCTTGAACTTCTCTTCGTCCTTGATGACCCGATAGCAATGGAAGAGGTTGAAGCACTTGCCATTGTGTTGAACCGTGAATGCCTCCAAAGCTTGAAATGCCTACAAAATGTTTCCATGCAAGGATATGGGCAAGCGATAGAAAATGAAGACGTAAAAGGATGATCTTGATGACACAAAAAAGGGCAGCTTGCTTGCTATCATACCATGTCTTGCATGCCGATGCCGCTCACGGGGCGGGCCTTGACGCTCTCAAGGGTGGCGCAGAACTTGTTGCACTCTTGTTGGATCACCTTCCACCGCTTGGAAATGGAGACCCACCCGCGCGTGCTCACAAATTGGTAAGGTGGAAACTTCTTGCGCTCATGAAACTCTCGGTGCACACGAGTCCAAAAGGTCGAATGCTTTTGCTCGGCACCCGTCTTCGGGCCTTGTCCAATGTTTCGCCAACACTCGCAAAGAAGCTTGTCTTCGACTGTTGTGTACGCCTTCGTACGCTTGCTCTTGCGCTTCGGCTTAGGACCGGCGGCTTGGTTGGCGAGCTCGTCCTCAAACAAAGGCTCCACGTTGATGTCGCACTCGTCCTCTTCCTCTAGCCCGTAGTCGACCGGGAACTCGTGGTCGAGGGAGAAGCCGTCCAGCTCGACGCTGACCTGATCACGCATGAAGGCCACCTGGTCGGGATCATAGGCAGCGGCCGGCGTGAACGCCCCGCGACCGTCCTGGCTTTGTGTCTCGTCGGGATCGTAGCCAGCGCCCGGCGCACCACCCTCGAAGATGAGGTTTTGCATGAAGTCCTCGTCGACGGCGGACGACATTCCCTCGAACAGGTTACGGGCGTCTGGGAGCCCGCCGGCCGGCGTCTGCCGCGCGCATTTCCTCGTGCCGCCGGACGACGAGCCACCAACCACCGGGGTGGCATTGAGGCCGATGGGCGCTGGCGCTGGCGTGGAAGGCGCGACCACGCTCACATCGGGTGAGCACTCCCCGGAGAGGTGGGAGGCCTGCGGGTAGACGTGGAAGCCGGGGACCGGGTTGCAAGCAGACGTGCGGGGTGACTCGGGCAGCACCATCCGAGGAAACGCCGACGAGCCGGTGCTGGCCGCGGCGACGGCGGCTTGGACGAGACTGTGCTGGCTAGGGTTTACCCCTAGCATGTAGAGCGCCTCCCTCGTTGCCGCCACGACGCGAGTATTGGTGAACTCCTGCTACGCGGCGGCGACGGCAGCGGCCTGCGCGGCGGCCTCATCCCTCGCGTCCGCGGCGTGCCTCCGGCCCTTCCTCTTCGCCGACTCCCTTGCCCGATGTTCGGGCGTCAGTGCCTTCTTTGGCTTGGTCGCGGCGGCGGTCTTGCGTGGGGCACGAGGCTTGCCTTTCCCGGAGGGGGCGACGGCGCCGGACGAGGTCGAGGTCGATGGCGTCGTCCATGGTTGGGACGGGAGCGAGCGCGCGCGGGCGGGAGTGTTTCTGTGAAAAATGAGGGGAAATGGTGGTGGCTGCCACCGACCGGCGGGCTCGGGGAGAAAAGTAGGCGTGCGCGCGCGCGTCCGTCTCGTGTCTGCGCCGACGCAAATCGGGCTCAAAATTGGGCCGGGAATGAATCGCCCGCGGACGAAAAACGGACGCGTCGACCCAAACGGACGCGGGCAGACGAAATGAGTCATCCCATTGAAGTTGCTATTAGCTCCGCCCGTCTCCAGGATACATGCGTATCAGGCCTTGTACAATGGAAGGTGCTTAGGGCATGTGCTTAGAGAAATAAATCAGGCTTTCTTTAAGCACCGGTGCTTATTTGTACAGGATAGACGCTTAACTAAGCGTCTCTACTGTAGAAATAGGCACTGGGTGCTTCAGAATAACTCAGTTTATTTTTTTAAGCACCTCCCATTGTACAAGGCCTCAGCCGCCTCTTTCCACATAGAGGAGAGAAGGACTGTTTCCCTGCCCTGGCGTGGCGTATGCGCCGCCGTGCATGGCCGGACGCGGCCCAATAATTGAGGGGGCGATCCGGTACCAGTAGTCGCCATGGACCCACCCGGCGCGGCCGGAGTCAATCAAGACGATCTCTGCATCGACAGCGAGGCTCGCGGGGAAAACTGGCACCGATAGACAGCCACGGCCGGAGTTACGTGAATTTGTCAAGCGCGGCAGGCTAGCGACGTGTTTATTTACATAGTATACTATCAGCACTTAGCCGCCGGGGGATCTTGGATCTGCCATTTCCAGGCGTTGAGCGTAGGATATGAAAATGTTTGTCGCTTTGACGATCTCGACAGGCCAGGCGCTCCAGACCATGGCCACGGTTACTGGCTGTCGTTGGCATGATAGCAGCAGTACATGTGGCTTGCTTAATGTGGTGGGAAGAAACCCCGCATTTTTCGCTCACTTGCTGCCACAGTCAATGGATTATGGATCAATCAATCCGCGCTGCTTACAGTCCAGATAGCGAGATACACCGCGCTGTAAACCAACCGTTAAAATCTCGTGCCTGGAATTTTCTTCCCCGTGCGCGCACAAGACAGAGGAGCCCAATCCGTCCGTTTTTGTTGCAGAGTCGTGCTTGTCCACGTCGAGCGAGCGGGTAAATAGACCCAAACACGTCTAGTCTAGCCTAGCCTAGACAGCGAAAGGTAGTAGTAGTAATCTGGAGAGAAAGCGAGGCTTGCTGTTGGCCCGTCCGCGCAGCGGTACGACGAGGCCAAATGGGAAATGTAACGGACCATGGACGGACGTGGCTACTCTCTGTTTGGCTACTCCGGACTGGCGACGCAACTGATCACCGGTCGGGAACAACATGGCACATGCGGCGAGCAATATCAGTATCAAGGTATACCGGTAGTAGTGGTAGTAGTATAAAGTCAAGAGATCACCAATCTGGAGCAAGGTCGAGCAGCGAACTCAACCAGGATGTCTGGCGGGCGAGATACAGTCACAGATCGATGGCAACCCGGTCACTGCTGAAACAGCATAGCTGCGCAAATGGCTGAGTGGCTATTGGCAGGCGGTTAGAGGTCACTATTCATGCTGAATTTGGTTCTGCCAAAGTTTATTTTATTGCAAAAACGATGTAATGTACCGCTCCCCCAACATACCGTAAGAAAATGCATGAGAGCAGATCCCACCAGCCGTCAGGTAGGCATGTGGACTGCACTGTGCACATGTACTAGTATAAGCCAACAATGGCACACTGTAAATAACAAATGATTTAGTGAGTACTCCCATCCCAGTGGAGTACTGTACTACTCAAAGTTGGATCTCAAATTGCAGTGGCAAGACCTCCCAGTGGAGGCATGCACGACTAATAGTAAGATCTAAACACAAGAGGTGCTGAAACTACAGCTCTCAATTAGAATTCACTAGTCTGCAAAGTTTAAGAAAAGGCACAAGAATTCGCTAGTCTGCATTCAAACAAACGGCATGAACTCCAGGTCATCGAATTGGCGGGGAGTAGCATTTATTGTAGCAAGGAAACTTTATTCTACACGGCCACCGTAGTTTGTCACGTACGTTAGCATTTACGAGGAGTCGGGAACTTCAAAAGAAACCATGAAACGTGCCTTCAAGAGAACCCAAAAGTGTTTCCTCTAAACAAAACTTCGAACTGGATGCGTTCGCTGGTGTGCATTTCTTCTTGATCACTTCCGCTTAGCACTCTCTTCCGCTCTAGTGAAAGCATCCGTTAGCACATCAACAGCCCAATCCTTGGCATCCTCCTGCAAGGCAGATACGTCAAGATAAGTCTTAAGCATCAAGCTCTAAAGCGAAAGGCAGGTCAAACCTTAAAAACATATGCAGATAAGGATGCAGGTAAGATCAACACATTATTAATAGAAAAGAGATGACTTGCTGCCTGATCTACCAACACGGAGACTTGAAAAGAGATGCGGGTAAGGGAGAACCAGACAAAATTGATCCGACGCACGCTCACTCACAAATATATCGAAAAGTGATACAATATTATAAACCTTGCTTTTAAGATGAAGGCATGTTTGAGTGAGTAACTAATGCCTTCAGAATTACTACACTGATGAAACAAAATATATATACCGAAAACTGCAAGCTTGTTTCCTCAAGGTGTACTTTGGCTACAGGTTCTATTATACTCTATAGAGTAAATGTCTACCACAATCACTCAAATCCTGCAGAATATAATGAAATAACTAATGAGGACACGAGGTAAACCAAACATGTGTATGATACCTAACAAATCTAGCACCATAATGCACGTGTGACCCTGCTAGTTATATATAGCAGCAAGTTGTTGAAACATGGAACATCAGTATCTACTATGCATCAGCAATACATCTGTTTTCAGCACGGAAGCAAGTTAGTGGATCCAATAAACTAACTCCAAAGAGATGTAATATACCATAAAAATTTACAGAACTATATAAAAATGCATCAATGAGATGATAGTGAGGAAGTTATGTCTGCTACTTACCAGCCGCATTTTTTCCCCAGTTCTTAAGCGGGCATGTGGACGAGCTAACTTTGATTCAAAAGGGGTCCTTGGCCTGACTTCTTGGATTTCATCCCACTCTTCACGTGAAAGCATCCTTACTGTTCCTTGCTCAGGGTGACTATTCTTTATCTTGCGTTCCCTCCTTTCTTGGTCTGTAGCTTCATGTTCCTACCCAAAAACACATGCAACTAAGCTTCAGAGCATGCCAATTTCAGAACAGACAGAAGATTTTCTGAATACATGCAAACAATGCCGAGTTAAACTATTTGATCGACATATACAATATGCAGTAGGTAGACAATCTGGCAAACATCAGGATTGATGATTACACGACAAGGATGTATCTCTACTACCTAAAAAAAGGTTTCCACTCCCGTAAAAAAAACCGTTTTGCTTCATCCGACTGTTTCGCTTCCCCTCCCCTTCCACCGTTTTTTCTGGTCTTTTCGGTTTTCTGATCAGTAAAATCCTTCCCTTCCCCATCCGAGCGCCTCCTCCTTCCCTAACACGGACCGATCTCACCTCCCAAACACTAGCTGTAGGGTTCCGGGCCGCCAATCATGCTCAGCTGATAAGATCCCCATCGCCAGCAGGGGCAGGGTGCCGAGGAGAATCTACTGGATCGCCGCCGTAGCCCCCATGCATGCTCCCTTTCCTCGTGGCCGGTGACACCCTCTGCCCTAGCCGCGCCACCTCGGCCATCACCGCCACAGAGCCTCCTTGTCGTCTCGGATTGATCTTCTGTGCCAGGATGGGTGCGACAACGAAACCTCCCAGACATCATGATATCAACCCCAACGCTGTCTACTTCAATCACATACATGACGCCGCCGCCGCCGTCCCGCACCTGCACGCCGCTTCAGGACGGTTCAGTGCACGCCAATGACCTCCTCGGCCCAGGTAGTCAGACAACTGCATCTCTCTAATTGCTTTCTCTTGATCTCTCCTTTTTTTTCCTATCTCCTGCATCTCGCCCGACGGAGCCGATTTTTCTGCAGGCTACACGACAAACCTGAGCATGACAACAATGTTAGGCGGCTCTCTCATGAAGAGTCATGTAGCAGCAACCCGTAAGGACTTGTACTGCTCAAAACTGCAGGTTAGTTCTCATTGTGATTGGGAATATTACAGTAGAGAGTCAAACTTCAGCTCTCATTATTGTGGCATTACAATGCTCAACCTAAACACTTTCGCCCAGTGCCAGAGGACACACCAATAAAACAAGACCGAAAAATAAACTGGGTCTTTCTTCTCTTCTGTCAACCTATCTACTGGTTTGGTTGTTGAATGTCCAAAAATCACAAGCCTGCTGAAAAGGTAAATCAAAGTATCAGGATTTTGCGTCGGAATTGGTGTATTTCCACACCTCATTTGAGGTGATTGCTTGGTCTCTTGATGCTTAAATTATGTTAGTTGTTTTATTATCTAGATTTTTTGTTTTTTTCCCAACACATCGTGAAAAAGGAGAGCAGAACAGACTTTTTAGCTTTCATAAGCATGCATCTATTAAGCATACAGCGCAAAGTATGGCTTAACACCAGTACAACTCTGAGCAGAAAGAAGTTCTTGAATTAGAAAACTGAGTTCAGCCAATGTTGCAGTTGAAAGCCCCAAAGTAAAACTGGAAATATCTTCTTTTTATACGCAAAAAAGATTAATCTGTACACTTTTTTTGTCACCGTACAATTTAATACAGTAATTGAGCTACTACATACAGAACGATCCTTCTCTTTTAGGAAGGGAAAATGCTGTATTACCTGACCTCTGTTTCTATATTATGTGAACATGGTTAACTTAGCAAATCTTATACTGAAGAAGTGTGGTGTCCTCCCTCTTGCGGTCTCCACAATAGGTAGCTTCCTGGCAACCAAACCAAACAAGAGCTATGGGGTGGAGAAATCTGAACAAACATATGAGTGATGCGCTTCAGGTCAATCCAGAGCTTGGGATGATAAAAACAGTACTTGTCTCAAGCTACGAGGGTTTACATCTCAAGCTTCGCTTTTGTATTTCTCCATTTTTCCTGAAGGCCGTTACATTGGGTGGGCATGCTTGGTGAGAAGATGGATTGCAGAGGGATAAGACAACAGAAAAGAATAGGGAACAGTTACATCACTGAGCTAATCAGCAGGACCATGGTCGAGCCATCAAAAAGGGACAGGCCGTAGCGCCACCGGGAGGATTATTCTTTTTTGCAAATTCTTGATCTCATTTGCGAAATCACGATCTCAAAGTCAGACAGAGGAAAATCTCGTTTGTCACAGGCAGGCAAAGTTCATCACCTTGCTGTAAGCAATAGCTGGTTAAGAGAGAAGAATGCATTCGAGAGTGCAGACAGGAACTGGTCTGGCATCCGATCATTGCCAGTATTTGGAGAATGGAAATCATTCTTCATTTCTGATGATATGAGATTCCTTCGGGTGTAAGATTTGCAAGATACAAAGGGTCTAGAGGATCACCACCCCCATCAAATTATAAAGCTTTTTCACATAAAGTATCTTTCGCTAAGAAGACGTGGTCAGCTTTTGAGGCTGCTGAGGCACCTAGAAACGTTTGATGTCAGAGATATACAAGTAATCAAACTATCTTGTATAACTATTATAATCTTTGGCCTGATGTGCTATTGACTTGCTTTTCTAAAAAGTGAAGCTCGATGTGTGCATGTAGATTATAAAGGTACAAGCTTACATTATTGGTGTGAAACCATCAAAATATTTTTTACACCCATAGCAACACACGGGCAGTTACCTAGTAGTATATCTTATATGAAAATCTAGGTGACTATTAGTTCATGAAATAACTAAGATAAATTCGTTCGAACATTTCTTGAATGAAGCCATTAAAAGGGGACACGAAAAGTCAAACTTCGATATCGAATAAAAAAACTATACCTGGATAACACAACATTTAGAGATGCTCTATTCACTACTCTACCATGGACAGATAATCATTTCATCCAATAAAGAGTTTCTTGGAAAGTCTCTTCTCTAAATTTTGATGCGTTGTTGACAATACTAACAACCACTCTATCAGCTCGTTCCTTGAGGTTACATTTCTAGAAGCTCACATCTTACAAATCCAAAGTATTCACTAACACACAATGATCGGCCTTAGCGGTTCACATGTATACAGTACGCAGATCAGATGATTAACTATGTGTTCAATCCTAAATAAACGTGTTCAATCAAATGCACGGCAGCTGCAGCTGCAATTAACCCTAGCGAACACCAGAGTGGGGGTGGAGGATACCATCATGAGGAGCTTGGTGAAGAGGGCGACGGCGGCGGCAGTGAGGATCATGGGCAGGGTGACGGAGTCGAGCCATTTAAGCGACTCCGGCGTCGGCACGAAGAACTCGTCGCGCCCCGGGTCGCGCCGACGCCGCCGGGAGCGCTCCCGCTCCGCCACGCTCAGCCGTAGAAGGTTCCCCGTAGATCCCTCGGCCAGCGCGGCCTGCCTCATAGCCGCCTCTCCCCGGCGCAGCACCGTCCGCAGCATCGCTGCGTCCACGCCGCCGGCGACTTAGACAGGACGACGGGGCCAGGGAAGTGGAGGCGTCGGGGAGGTGCGCGTCCGTCGCCGTCTGCGTGCTCCCAAGACCACCTAACGACGTACGATGCGCCGCTCGCCTGAATCCCCCCGGCCGCGGCGGCGGTCGTGTTTCGCCGGCGCTTCAGGAGGGAGAAGAGAGACACCAGTCACAGCACCTCATTAGGCTTTCTGGCCCACGCTATCTCTATCGATCCTAATGGGCCTATAATGGTCGAGACCGGAACGTGCCCCTGAAGCGCCTCCCTAAATGGATCAGGCCTATAAGTACGTACACATTTTTTTTTTCATGGTAACACGTGTCTCATTTATAGCATAAAGATTTTTTAAAAATAAGTTTAAAAATTAAAGTAATGACTCACGTGACAAGACTGGAAAAATAGAAGAAGGCTAACCTTTAAAAAAGGATTGACAGCCAAGAAGTAAAAATATAATCAAGATCGAAGAATTTGCTGAGCTTGACACCAACGTTCATCACCTAACTTTGGCACCATCAGAGTAGCCATCAAAGAAAAAAATGGATCACCTCCTCATCAGAGCTCGACACGCCCCCATCGCTGATATACAGCTTTGCAGACCTCCAAGATGGCTTACCAAAGGCGAAATCATTGTCATTTAATGATTTAAACCGGGGCAACACCCTGGACACACCATCGAACTTCAGATCTGGCACCCCACTACGACTAAGACGCCGAAGGAGGAAACCATACCCGCCTTCCGTCAACCACGAATGCAACACACGTTTCGTCTTCCAAATGTGCATCCGCTCCTGGACTACCTCCCAAGCTCCGCATCGACGCTGGAGCAAACGTCGTTGAAACGACGGGGCGTGAGGACACAAGTACACCACAAGGATGTCGCGCCGCCATGGCATCCTTGCTTGAATAGTTTGGTTTCCAAATTCATCCTCAACCATAAGACGGGTCGCCTCATTGGGAAAGGATTTTAATCTTCTTTATTCAATGTCACCATCGTCGCCTCCGAAGCCATGATGATAAACGACCGAAAAGCTAAGCCACTAGAGTTTAACCTAAAGCTACACGACCCATACGCTTAGATCCGGTGACCTCCCTCACCACTGACGAATCAACGACCGAGATCGTCAGCGATGGGGAACAGCCGGAGCAAGGCGGCGGAAGGAACTACTGGCGGCGGCTAGGGCTTCTAGTCGCCCCGCCCCGAGTGAAAAAGACTCGCTCGTTCGAGTCTAGCATGTATGCATTTTTTTAATAGAAAAAGGGTCTCTATATACATCCGTATGTAGTCTATATTAGAATCTCTAAAAAGACTTATTTTTGGGAATGGAGGAAGTACATGCTAATTTGGTGACCCAGAGTGATCTTGATAAGCAGCATGCATGATTTGTTTCAGCTAATGCATACACGATTACAAAATATTGTGAGCAACTTTATGATATGGTTCAACTTATTCTTTATATTGCAGGGTTATCTGGGAGGTTGGTGATTTACATTGAGTGCCTAGTATCCTACATGCATCTTCGACCTTGTGAGTATTTTCCATCAAAAGGTCCAGCTCGCGCCACTCAACCACTTCACTGGGGCCAAATGAGCAACAAAACGTAAGGGCTAGGCCCCTTCCTACGTAACTTCTCCCAGCTTTATGCTCACATCACCAATAGACCATGAGGAACCAAACACTGAGGGGGTTTCCCAGAAGAGGGCTCTATTGCCACCGCCAACGCGATAGGAAAGGCCTTTGTGAAGGCAACCTTTCATCGCGTGGAGCCCTTTCTAGAAAAAGATGCACCATTCGAGCACGTATGAAAGAAACTGCCACCACCAAGTACTTCTTTCCAAGAGTTTGACAACTCAAATCTTGGTCACTCCTCTCTAATTTCATGATCCATTTGGCCAGCAACAAAATATTTCTGGTCCTGCTATGTAAGAAGCCCAAACCTCCATACTCATTAGGTCTATACATGCTAAGCCAACACACCATGGTGCTTTCTATTTTGACCTCTGAACCCATCCGAGTAAAAGTTCATCCAGTACATTATATGTTTGATTTTGTTAACAATTTCCTTGAACCCGCCCAACATACATTACAACAATTCACTGATGTTAGTCATAAGCTACATACTCCTTTATGTCCTGCTATTATTTTCTACTTGAACGTTTTATTCCGGTAACAATTTCTAACCTTATATGTTTGGGGTGCAGGGTGTAAGTGAAGGAAATATGCCCTAGAGGCAATAATAAAGTTATTATTTATTTCCTCATATCAAGGTATATGTTTATTATTCATGCTAGAATTGCATTAACCGGAAACATAATACATGTGTGAATACATAGACAAACATAGTGTCACTAGTATGCCTCTACTGGACTAGCTTGTTGATCAAAGATGGTTGAGTTTCTAGCCATAGACATGAGTTGTCATTTGATTAACGGGAGCACATCATTAGGAGAATGATGTGATTGACTTGACCCATTCCGTTAGCTTAGCACTTGATCGTTTAGTATGTTGCTATTGTTTTCTTTATGACTTATACATGTTCCTATGACTATGAGATTATGCAACTCCCGTTTACCGGAGGAACACTTTGTGTGCTACCAAACGTCACAACGTAACTGGGTGATTATAAAGGAGCTCTACAGGTGTCTCCGAAGGTACTTGTTGAGTTGGCGTATTTCGAGATTAGGATTTGTCACTCCGATTGTCGGAGAGGTATCTCTGGGCCCTCTCGGTAATGCACATCACTATAAGCCTTGCAAGCAATGTGACTAATGAGTTAGTTGCGGGATGATGTATTACATAACGAGTAAAGAGACTTGCCGGTAACGAGATTGAACTAGGTATTGAGATACCGACGATCGAATCTCGGGCAAGTAACATACCGATGACAAAGGGAACAACGTATGTAGTTATGCGGTTTGACCGATAAAGATCTTCGTAGAATATGTGGGAACCAATATGCGCATCCAGGTTCCGCTATTGGTTATTGACCGGAGACGTGTCTCGGTCATGTCTACATAGTTCTCGAACCCGTAGGGTTCGCACGCTTAAAGTTCGGCGACGATCGGTATTATGATTTTTTGTGTTTTGATGCACCGAAGGTAGTTCGGAGTCCCGGATATGATCACGGACATGACGAGGAGTCTCGAAATGGTCGAGACGTAAAGATCGATATATTGGATGACTATGTTCGGACACCGGAAGTGCTTCAGGAGGTTTTGGACATTTACCAGAGTACCGGGGGGTTACCGGAACCCCCCCGGGGGTTTATTGGGCCTCATGGGCCCTAGTGGAGAAGAGGAGGAGCGGCCATGGCAATCCGTGCGCGCCCCTCCGCCTCTAGTCCGAATTGGACAAGGAGTGGGGGGGGGGCCTTTCCTTCCTCTCCTCTCACCCTTCCTTCCCTTTTCCTACTCCTACAAGGAAAGGAGGAGTCCTACTCCCGGTGGAGTAGGACTCCTCCTTTCCTTGTAGGAGTAGGAGAAGGGAAGGAGTAGGACTCCCCCCTTGGCGCGCCCTCCTCCTGGCCGGCCACCTCCCCCCTTGCTCCTTTATATACGGGGACAGGGGGTCACCTCTAGACACACAAGTTGATCTGTTGATCTCTCCCAGCCGTGTGCGGTGCCCCCTCCACCATATTCCACCTCAGTAATATCGTAGCGCTGCTTAGGCGAAGCCTTGCGTCGGTAGCATCATCAACATCGTCATCACACTGTCGTGCTGATGGAACTCTCCCGCAAAGCTCTGCTAGATCGGAGTTCGTGGGACGTCATCGAGCTGAACATGTGCTGAACTCGAAGGTGCCGTACGTTCGGTACTTAGATCGGTCGGATCATGAAGACGTATGACTACATCAACCACGTTGTGCTAACGCTTCTGCTTTCGGTCTACGAGGGTACGTAGATAACACTCTCCCCTCTCGTTGCTATGCATCACCATGATCTTGCGTGTGCGTAGGAATTTTTTTGAAATTACTACGTTCCCCAAAAGTATGTGGTTTGAAAGAAGACTTTGTGAAGGGCCTAGATGTTGAAATGATGTATGCGGTGATGATAGCTGATGTTATTCATGTAAGGGATTTATCAGTCCCATGTGCTTCTGCATTTGTAAATTCTGCAGATGGTTGGAACATAAACATATTGACGCGTACATGTCGATCGTCTATAAGGAGGTAAACTAAATTAAGTTACATTCCAATCTAGCGGATCATTATACTTTTATGGTTGAATTGACACCCTTTTGTGGCCTAAGAGGGTTGGGTGGATATTCAAAAGATTGCGACGAGAATATCAAAAATCCGCAAGAGACCTCGAAGGTGACTTGTCCAAATTTTTTGATGCATGACACAGTAGCGCTCCTTCTTTGTTTTTATTGATCACTGGCTAGTCTTATGATTTAGGGCGTAAGTTGGTGACAAGAGAGACCGTACACATTGCAATTTTGGGCTCCTACGAGCTGACCTGCTCGTATTTCAACTCTCACCCTCACTAACATGCTCCATGTGAGAGACCAATGTCAGGCTCCTGCGATTTGACCTGCTAGTTTTTTAACTCCCGTCCTCACTAAATGCTTCGTGTGAGGTAGCGATGTAGGTCAAATTACCTGAACTTAGCAATTTATCATATTCCTAACAGACTATGTCTTAGTATGGCAAAAACCCGATGCGCGTTTTTGTGGTTCATTTGCTACATGGGAAGTTGGCTGAGGTCTTAAACTTGTATGGATGCTAATGTTTTGAGTCAGTGTATTATCGTCACTCTATTTTGGGGTTTTTTGTCTTCTGGTCTCTGTTAGAGCCGGTTATACTAAACTTTTGTATTTATTTCAATCTAATTGTACCATATTACAATTTTAATTAGTAAAAGTTTCTATTACTTAGCCATCATAGTTAAACCCATAACAATGTCCTAAATAATAATAATAGTATTCTTTGGTATACATTTATATAATTAGGAAACACTGATTTTGCGAAA